GAAAGTTAACTTTTGATCTCACTCGGCAAAATGACACTGAAGGCGTAGAAACTGGCCTAATTTGTTGTGGACGCTATGCTGAGTCAATATATGAGATAATTTAATAACTTAAATGATAATTCCAGATGGTAAATATTTTAAGCGGATTAAATTGTAATGCAAACATATTTGGATCGCAAACTGTCTTATTTTTATTATTTTTTCATTAATATAAAATCTGTTGTGTACACCACATGACTTCCTTGTACGGAACATTAAGTTATACGCAATTTTATTGCATTTCATTTAAACATATTGAATTAACAGTTAACGAATTTTGAATTAAATCTACTTCGTCGATAGCGCATTCTAACCTCCCTGTTTTTTTTTTTTTTTTTTTTTCTTCTTCCTTTCTTTAAACGGCGCTATTCTAACCTCCTTGGTGGTGGTAGTAATTCGCGCGGTTTTGAAATTCGAGAATCATGTTTGTGGTTTCTATTTATTCTAATGAGTGAGTGGATTTTTTTTTGGGGGGGGGACAATTGTAACACTACTGTATGCTTGCTAATGGGAAAAAAAAAGCGTTGCAGTTTTTTAAAAATGGAGCGTTTTGCCTACTGGTAAAGAGGAGGAATGCGCCTTTTTTTTTTAATTTTTTAAATTTTTTTTTATTTTTATTTTTTTTTTTTCTTTAATTGCTTAAGACGTCTTTGAATATTTTCTGAGTGCTTTTTTCCAAAACTTCTGTTCGTATTCTTAGTCTAACTATTAGCTTTAAGTTACGTGCAATTATTTGTAATATGGTTATATCGTATGTTGTATATTATAAAGAATTAGTAAAGGGGTTGTTAAAGAAAGCCATTCTTTTAAAAGTGGTCGATGAAAGAGAATGTTTAGGAGGCCCCGATCTAAATAGTTATAATTCAGATTGTAAGGATTATGTTAATTTTATTAACAGTTAAATTTTAAGTTAAATTTCCTTTCCTGTCAAATTCTTAACTTCAACTTACTACTTCCGGCCAGAATGTAGTTTTGGAATCATTCTGAATACTTAATGATGAGGAGCGGTATTTAAACCGCGAAGTTACTTGCAGAGTGAGAGAGAATCAGAGTTTTCGATTTGTGCGCGTCTGCCTTTCGGTTTCTCTCTCTCTCTCAAAGCTGTTATTACGCTCGGCCGTACTCAGACCCTTGATAAGCTTGGTAGTCAAATAGAGTTAACGGGCCAACTCGTTTAGAATCTTGATAGCTTCGGCTATATCTCTTTAGTTAATCTTAGTTTTAGTTTAACTTTTGTCTCTTAAGTTCAAGCCCAAGTGTCGGCTTTTATTGTACACTCCAAGACGGACTTTTGTTAAATCTTATTGGAATAATAAAGGGTTAGTTACCCTTCCATCTTGTTGTTTCTTGTTATACGAACTTGTGTGATTATTCGCTAAATAGTTCTTAAGATTCGCCACTTTCTACAGCCACTGAGAAATACACTAGTGAAAATCTTACAAGATAATTAGTAATCCCTAGCAGAAATTAGCCTGTAATAATCTTTTATAAGAATTATGTAGTTAAAGTATTTTGTTTATAAAAGAAATATATATTTTTAAGCTTTTACGGTCTTAGGCTTTCATATATATGCATGTTTTATGATTATAAATGTATATTATGAGAAGGATAGCGTGATGTTTGTAAGTTCATCTACTGTTCTGTCTGATTGCTAGACTGTAAAAAAACGTAAAATGCATGTTTAAAATGTATGTTTTTCCCACCAATTTAGAGCTCTTTTTAGTTCTATGTTTTAAACAAATTCTCTTAATCCTGTATTTTAGATGCCATATTGCTTTTTTCTGTGAATTTATTTATTTATCGCCAATAGAAACCTCGGTGAGAAAAGAACTAACACATAGGAAACTCAGAGTAACGAGTGGCACATCTAACTATAATTAGAAGACTCATGTTTGAATCTCGCATAACAGATTCCTCACGTTTTATGATTCGTAAAATACATAATCCCCCTACAAATTTCATATTTTCCTTCAAATCTTCGTCACGTTTGACGGATAATATAAATAAATACCTATGAGAAACATTTTCGCCCGAAATTTGGTAAAGAGCCACCGCATCGTCACAACATGAACACTGGGTAAAACAGTTTCAGGACATGGGCTGCTTATGTAAGAAAACCAGCCCAGGACGTACAGCAACTAAACCCGAAGTGGTTGAAAAAATTCGTGAAACATTTTTTACGAAGTTCCACAAAGTCAACGCGCCATGCAAGTTCTAAACTTACTGTGTCTTGTGTAACGGTGTGCTGTGTGTTAAGTAAACGTCTACAGTTCCGGTCATACACCTTTAGATAGATGTTTCCTTCATGGAAAAATTTATTAACGGGGGCATTTATTAAAATACGTTGTCAGAATGGTTGTTCCCTCATTTGGGAGAAGCGGTTCACGGATTCATTCTGCAGCAAGACAGTGCTTCACCACATTAGCATAAAAACATACGTCAGTGCCTAAAAGGTAGTGTTTCCCCATCGCTGGATTGGCTATGCTGGGTCAAACGATATGGCATTGCTTTGTTGGCCATATATTTTGATCCCCATATCTAATCTATTGCGATTATTTCCTATGGGGGTTGTGAAAGACAAAATGTTCGTGCCCCCTCTTTTCCACAGGATTTACAAGAACTGAAGCAGCAAATAGATAACTGAAGTACTCTAATCATTAACAGAGGATAGACTAATGTGGCAGAAACTGGAACACCGCATAAATGTTTGCCGTGTCAAACCAGAGGGGCACACATTGAACATCTATAGAAAATTTGATAAATATAGTTTTACTGTAAATTTGATTTAACAAAATAAAGTAATTACTATAAAATATTATATTAACTGTCAAGAATTGCAAGATATCTTAGTTCAAAAAACACTAATTCGAATCACACATAACATCAAGATACATGAACACTACAAATCAGGTTTCTAAACTCCCAAGTTTATTCATGTCTAACACACATTCAACTGGCGGTGCCAGATCCAAGAACAAGAAGTATACATCATGAAAAATTTACGGCCTCTTTGGCGATTAAAATATATTTCCACACAAAATTTCTTACAATTACAGCGTTCACGTGTATGCTTTCTTTTTGTCAAATTCAATATGAAATACCCTGCATATTTATTTAAAAAAAACTATTTAAACGATGTAAATTATTCTGAAGTGCCAAATTGTTTCGTCCAGCTAAAGAATAATAAAACAAGTTCCAAAACAAGTTAAAAAGGTGTCCGAGCTGTTTGGAACTCCTACATGTAACTATTGTACATGGACTATTCGGACTATGGCAAACCATTTATCTACGCAGTAGAAAAATGCCTTCGCTGAAAATATTTTACAACCACCGACTCGTATTCAATTCACATATGACGAAAATCCAGAAAACCTCAATATAGCCAACCCCTTTCACCTGAATTTGAAACCGGGTTGAATTACCCAAAGTGTTCAGCAATCTTACCACTCAGCCGAGCCGATTTGTATTCAACGTACATATTAGGGAATTTCAGAAAACCCCAATACAGTCAACCCTCTCACCGGCATTTGAGCCCTGGTTGAATTACCAGTATTCAGCAATCGTACCACTCAGCCCCTTGCAAGCCTGTAGGTTAAATACTATAGGAGCATAATAAAATATATTTTACAATGTAACGTGCAACTCAGTTTTAACTTAAAACCCCAATGCAGCCATCCCTCTCACCGGGATTTGAGCTTTAGTTAAATGACCAGTGTTCAGCAAACTTACCACTCAGCCGCTGGTAAGCCTGTAGGTTAAATACAGGAGTATAATAAAATATATTATACAATGTAACGTGCAACTAAATTTTAACTTTTTTCTGTCTCATATCACTATACATAACATTAAGACCCTCATATGATTAAATTATTTGTAATTAAGCTGGAAAAAGCGATTAATAGATCAAATATATTTTAAGATTATACGGAAGCGAAACAGCCAGTGTAAAATTTTAACATCAGACAAACAAGCAACCTGTAGCTTGTTATGGATTTTTATAAAAATGTACTCAAATCTGCTTTTTTTTCCTATTACAAGACATTAGGCATTCTAACTTTCATGTATGTAATCTCATGAAATGTCTCATTTTATATCACATGGTATCTCGTGACTAGCAAAAATAGTTTGCTATTTAGCGAATAATCAGGTGTAATTTCTAAAATTAGAAATACCGGAGCTCTTTGAAAGGCCAAAATAAATAAAGTAATAAAATAAAATTTAACGGATAAAGGTCATCAGAAAAAGGCAAAAAACAAATTAATTAATTAAATAAAAAATAATAAAAAGGTTATGCTAATAAATAAATTTTCAAATTAAATAAAGGATAAATAAATTTTAAAATAATAAATTAGATAACATTAACAGTTAAATAAAAATTAAAACTCTTTGGTTAATCTTATTGCGCTCCAGCTGAATTCAAGTCCTGAATATAACAGTTGCACAAAACATTTAACAAAATTACTTGAATTTCAGTATCGTCGAGAGTGAACTGGTCACTTTTTTATACCTATCGAACAATAGAGGACTCTGAAAGATTAAAAAAAAATGTCCATTTGTTTTCCGATTGGCAATAATTACGTTTCATTGTTTCGCTTGGGTGAGTTACCACTGTGCAACTGTCAGAGCGGTGACTTCGGTTCTCATATTTGTTTCACTAATTACGAACTCTAGCTGGAGTATCTTCAAACTGGAAACAAAACTACCAACAGTTCATAAATACTGAGATCTTTATCATTGAGGGAAATATGCATTCTAAAAACAAAAGCACGTATTGAAATAAATGGTTAGTGAATAACGAGGGGATATTTAGAAGGTCTGTTGTTCGGAACAATGAAGCTTTCAACACAAGTGAGAGAGAGAAACACACCACTTGTTCACTTCCCCGTTTTGGAAAGCATTTGATCACGTGGTCAAAGCCAACGGGATTGGAACAAACCGTCTGTGAGGTTTGCGATAAGGCTCCGTAATCGGCAAAGACAGCAGTTGGTAATTGAGAGGACAAATTTGGTGGAATTCAACCACAGCACTCACAGTGTTGTGTTACAAGGTGGAAATCGTATAATTCGCTGTGACAAACGGATTTCGTATGAAGCATCAGCAGGATTTATTTAAGTAAGTTGTTGAACCCAAATTAAAAAATATTGGGAGTAAATATCAGATGTTTATAATTCTTTTTTTTTTTTTACTCCCACATTTTGCCTGTTGTAGTTTAAACTCCTCTAATTTTGATGTTAAATGAATCGAGTAAGAATGAAGCTCACACATTACAAGCTAGTTTTCCTTAGCACAAGTGAAAAACATATAAACATAGTAGCATAAAAAAGTGATTTTTTTCCTCCTCGCTTTTTTTTTAGATTTCTGTGCATTGAACTTTCTCTAAGAACTCGTAGTTTCGGATGATTTTGGTTTTCGGTGGTCGTAGAAAGGCGATGTTTAGTGTAAATGTTTATTTATATTTATAGAATTATTGGTCACTTTTAGAAGTGGTCGCCTTAGGGAAGTGATGGTCGAGATAGTATTCATTGTGTATATGGTATTCACAATGCATATTTTAATATTATTTTAAATTAATTTATTATGCAGTTTTTCTAATTTTATTACTTTTTTTATTAAATGATTGTTTATAAATTTTAACCAAATACGTACCTCCTTAAAACTACTATTATGTCCGAGAACAGAATAAACATCGCTACTGAACGTGAAATAAAGTGACTATTACGTCTGAGGACAGAAATAAACAGCGGTGTTGAACGTCATTTCTCTAAAACAAAACGCCAAATAATCTGGAAGTTGTGCGTGGTCGTCTTAGGGGTTATCACTACAATTACTTATGTGCTTTTCCTCTTTTAACTAGTTTTTACGTTTTTGTTTTTATTGTTCAAGACCTATTACAAACTGCGATTTTCCAAACGATTTTATTATTTTTTTTTTAATATATAAAGTTTTTATTTTAAAAATATAACTTTTTCTCCAATTATACATTTATTTATTAGTATTTCCGATTCATTTCAGTCTACCATCAGATAAACTGTTAATGATACTTTCTGTTTTAAACATTTTTAAAAGACAACTAAATTTTGCTGGTTGAAAATATTTCCAAAACTAAAATTTAAAGTACCAAAAGTATAGTGGAAATCTCTGTTTAAAGGTGCGCTTTTGAAATTTGAAAGATAACTATTACTTTCTATTCGTTCACGGAAGCTTTCGAATAATGCTTGATGTTTAGTGATTCTTTGTTGCGTGTACGAAACTTCAAAAGATCTTGAGAAACACTTTTAGAAATAACACTGTGAACTTAATAATTTAAAAAGACCATTTTTATTACTATGTATTTGTTAATTAATTTAAATTAGCTTAATTAAGCAAGAAAGCGTCATCATGAATTTCGATAAAGAAATTATAATGTAAAAAACTTGCACAGACCTAGTGGCAGCTTGGATAAGATCACTGAACACTGGAAGTTCGACTCGGGTTCGAATCCCGGCCAATGAACTATTTGTATGTGCTTTTAGAAGCTTTTACTATATTTTCGTGAATACGAGCCACTTTTCTTAAAGTTCTCCACGAAGGCTTCTCTTTGTTTAACCTTAAAGCCCTAGTATGGACTAAAAAAATATCAGACGTAAAATAAATTTAACTCGGTGGAAATACTTAAAAAATTAAACACGTTTTTCAGTGTCACTTCTGATACGCAATAAATTCCATCATGCTCATTAAACATTTAGATTTGTTTGAATACGCCAAAGCACATAAGCACTGTGTGCCCAAAGGGAAACTGTCTTCATATAGGATTTTCTGGGGATTTAAAAAAAAAACTTTAAACACAACCAGTGTAGCTCTCTTTCGACAATATTCAAACCCGGACGAATTACCAGTGTTCAATTACCTTTACCATTCGACTTATGATGGGTAAACATTTAACATCTGAGAGTTATGTCAAAAAAAACTATATATTTCGGGCAATAAATATATAATCTGGCTAGATAGTGCCTGATTTCTTAAGCATCGAAGCATCCTTTCCTCGCTTTGTCGACGCGTGATATGTATAACGATTAGAAGTTAAAACATTTTTCAATATTGAGTGAAACATCAAGTAAGTTTCACAGTTTCTCTTTCTTCGAATTTGTGACATTCTGACCAGCCTTGAGCTCAGAGTTATGTTTCAATTTAGGTTTTTTTCTTTTTCAAATGGTAAATGTAAAATGCAGTTTATACAAACGCGGATAAGTACTTAAAAAGTAGATATTCGAACAGAATTGCAACTTTTGTGGATAACATCTTCGATTTGGCATCTGTAATACAGGTGATATGACATTTGCGCGCATGGCAGGCCGCACAATTGGCATTTGCGCACATCATTCCAGTAGTGACATAAAATTTTCTAACAAGTGTAACCAGCTACGCATAGCAAGAGGCATTTCCGCAAAACCTGTCCAAAATAATCAATGAGACTTCATGATTTATCGACTGAGTGTTTCTTATGTATTAATTTGCTATTTTCTTTTTAAAAATCTTCGTGCTCGTTTTAGAATATTTCCGCAAAATTTATTTCCTCCTTATTAAAATATTTAAAGACCTACAGTATCGGCATTTTTTTTTTTTTTTTTTTTTTTTTTTTTGATAATGCAAATCCTATTCGACTAAAAATTTTAGAAATTAGCCTTCATTATGTTAAACAATAATCTATTTTGGAGTTACGAAAATAAAAAAAAAAAAATCATTACTTCCTGGTACGATGTAAGGAAGTATTGTAATCCCGAAAAATTTTGGATGTCATATGTCAATGAATATATCCATTTCGACCGCTCTCGAATCCATGTGAACGATACTTTTGCTTGACATCTGAACGTGCAGACAAAATAAAGCACTGTTTTTACCAAAACGAATTGTAAGATAGAGTTAAAATGAATTCAGAAGAGAATTTTCCCCTGACATCTGTATGTATGTATTTCGCATAACTCAAAAACGAGTAGCCGTAGAACATCGAAATTTTGTGTAATCGACTGCTATAATATATAGCTGTGCATCTCCCTTTCTCGTTGCAATAGGCAGTACCGAACATAAATATACATATTTTCATACTCTTTTACTCTGTGAGCTTGTTCTTTTTATTCTTATATGTTGGTAAACTGTCATTTTTTGCTTTAAAAGTAATTAAGTTTTTATGTTCCGGTTAAGATTTTTATGTTAGTTAATCTACATGCAATAGTTTTAGAATTCTCAACAATTTAAAAGTTGTTAAGTGTTAAGCCTAACGTAGTCGTCATTTGTTTACATTTGAAATTCTTGGAAGAATAGTGAATCAAGGCAGTTTGTACACCAACTTCAGTGTCTTTTTGTCGGGCGTTACCAAAAGTAAACTAAACTAAAAGTAAACTTTTGTGCACCGAAAAATTTGTCATCCTGCCCGCTGGCCAAATTGCTTGTTTTTTATGTAGAAACTCTAATTTTAATTGTAAAAATTGTATTTTTAACTGTATTTGGTGTTTATTTTTATTTATTTATTTATTTATTTTGTTGTGTGCGTGCGTTTTGCAATTTTTAATGAAGATGCTTAAGTTTTTAATGCGTTTTTGCTTTGCCACGAAGTGAGAAATGAATTAATTGAATGAGAAATATATCTGCAATGAAATTTGAAGAAGTAAACTTAAATGAAATTCAACAAAAAATGCGTAAGGCTGTACAAGGAAGACATGTGATGTTCACAGCAGATATTTTTTAAGAAAATATAATTTTATGATATCTAACGTGGGTTATTTTAATTGCACATTATTTTTCTATTCTGGAAAAAAATACTTTTTTTTTTATAAAATGCTGAGCGTAGTCCATATTACGATAGAATGTGAATGATAAAGTGACCGGAAAAATGCCCACAGGAATAATGCTCACAGAATAATGATCATAGGTATAAATGCTCACAGGAAAAAAGCCCACACAGAAATATGCCCACACAGAAAAAAGCTCACATGGAAAAATGCTCACTTAAAAATATGCTTACGCGGAAAAAAGCTCACATAGATATGTGTTCACATGGAAATAAGCCCACTGATAAATAAAATACGTAGAAAATCTTTACATTAATCAATCAATAATTAATCGATTTGAACATCGTACACCTACATGAATTTTTCGAAGGAAAATTATTTAAATTAGACTTAGACTCTATAATTGACCGAGCTATTGCGAAGAGCAATGTTGCCGGTTCCAGAATTAAAGCCCAAGGGCACTTAATATAAAGAAATCCGGACGTGGAGAAAATCTCAGATGAAAAAATGGAGAAAAGGGGAAGAAGAGAAGTACCAAAAGGAGCAAGACAATCCAATCGGACAAGTTCGCAAAACGTGACGAGCGATCATATCTTTCAAGGAGGACCCAAGACAATGCAAATCAATGACAACAATATGAGAAGATACACTACAGCAATAGTTCTAATGACAAATTCAAATACAACTAAACAACCTCAATCAATTGTGCTAAATACAACATAATACAATACAACTATACAACACAATTTTAATACAACTATTCAACGCAATACTCTACAGCAACTCAACAACAACTTAAGCAACCTATTTACAACACTCTATCATCCCAATACGAAAAATCTCACAGCATTAGTTTTATAATTCACCAAGAATAATATTCAAGCTACAGAAGAACTTCAATCAAAATCAGATGCATTGGAAGTATAAACAGCTACCGATTCAGGAGCTAAGTGAAAAAATTGTCGTATCCTCCCATGAAGATGTGAGCTGCAAGTGGTCTGACACTTCTATCTTCGAAGAGAATTTAATAATTAAAGACTTGGGAGTAATTAACAAAGTCACATTGCACAGCTTTGTTGAAGAATTTTTCATTAGATCTTCTGATGTAATCTGGAATCGTCTCAGGGTTTAAGTCTCTGTGTTAAAAGTTTATTGCGGATAAGATAGTGTGAATCAGTAATAATGCGCAGAAATTTGTTTTGCACTACTTGTAATTGATGCAGTTGAGTTTGAGTGACAGTGTTCCAAGCAGGAGCTGCGAAGTATCGGTCGAATGCAATCGGTATATATATATGTTTTTTGGTACGCAATTATTTAAATTACGAAAACATCTATTTTATATATACG